TGCAGATGGTAGCACAAAACTGGGCAACTTTGTCTCTAAAATGTGCTTAATTTCTAATAATTTATTATCATTTTTTTCTGTATCAAAGGCTGCAATTCTGTCTTGAATTATCTGTATATAAACCCCACTGAACACACAATGACCTTCTTTTTTGAATAGCCATATAGGATTATGAGCCAGTTTGGTCTCGTAGTTAGGGCACTGGACTAGGAGTAGAGGCCTGAGTTCTAGTTTTGCCTTAGGCATGGAAACCAACTGGGTGACTTTGGGCCAGTTACTTTCTCTCAGCCCTAAGAAGGCAGTGGCATGCCACTTCCAAAAATGTCTAGAAAACTGCATGGACTTTTCCACGTAGTCACCAGGAGTCAAGATTGACTAAAAAAATAAATAAAAATAAAATGATAATATAAGTTCTCATAACTGATTATTCATATAATTAACAACTAGTTAAATTGTTACAATGAGATACCAGTTCAGTTAACAAAATCATCATGGAGGCCTCAGTCTTACACATCCTTTTAGTAAAGTGAATCAGGACCTGTGTCTAAGCTAACAATCCTATATGACTACAGGTTGTCCCCAGGTTAAGAACACCAGGTTTAGGACAGCCTATAGTTAAGAACGGAGCCTATTGTAGCAAAATTTGAGTTAAATACACAATGGTTCAAGTTAATTGCACAATACATACAGTATTGTACAATAATACTGTTCCAGCTTACATATAAATTCGACTTAAGGACAGACCTTGGGAACAGAACACGTTCTTAAACTGGGGACTACCTGTATTTAAAAAAAAAATCATTTTTTAATGACAGGCTTCTATGACAAGTGGTAATTTGTCTCATTTAGAAATATTATTGCTATTCTAGATGAAGTTATTCGCAAGCGACTTTTGATTGATGGAGATGGTGCAGGGGATGACAGACGAATTAATTTGCTGGTGAAGAGTTTCATCAAGTGGTGCAATTCTGGATCTCAAGAAGAAGGGTATTTTGCTATCTTTTATTTATAAATCAAATGTGGAAGCAATTCATGCAATTGCAGTGCTGTATATAGTATCTTTTTAATAGAAAATCAAGTTTGTATCCAATGACATATATCAGGATCACATTTTAAATGAAGAATTCAGTATTAGAAGAGTCTGTTAGGAAAATAGATCTTGAAATGGTTTAAAATATAAATGATGGGGAACAAGCTATAATGCAACACTTAATAACTTTTAATACATATTTTAAGTGTATTTTGGGTAATATTGTGACTGTTTTTGTAACTAAAATTAATAGTTTTTATAGCAGGTGCTGAATAATATGATACAGGCTAACTATTATGTCCTGGAAAATGCATTGGTTTGTATTATTTTTAAGAAAAACAAGAAAAATCATATAAAAGAAAAATATTGAGAGCCGTCAGACAAAATCAGTTTGACTTTAATAAATAAATCATTGCCATTTCTTTGTTGTACAAGTTCCAGAGGCCTTTAGTTAAGACTGGATGTGCTATATTTTCTGTCTAAGAAAAGGTTGTGTTTCTTTCCCCCCCAAAAATAACACATTGATATAAAATTGTATTATGGAATTTGGTTCTATGAATGTTCTAGGTGCCTCTGATTGTGAGTGTAATATGAATGGGGATAACACATCACTGTTCTAATGGTTGTATCACTGGATAGCATTTTGTGGTTTTGTAATGTTTTGATAATAGTGCAGGGAGTGGTAAAGTGAAGTCCACCAACCCTCGAAAAGCTTCCTCCCCCACAATTTTTAAATTTAAGGAAATTACCAAAATCTCACAACAGATGAAATTTCAGCAGTAGTTTTCATGTTGACTGTTGCCTGTGAGAATGTAATGGCACCCAGGGGCAGGAAGCAGTTGCTGCCAACTCCTACTGAAGAGGTTGATGCTCTAACATTGAGTTGTTGTTGTTTTTTAACTTGTGTTTAGTTTTGTTTTTGTTTCTCTTAAAATGAATGGAAATCAGGTATGCTGGAAAGCAAGGCACCCTCTTCTAACATCATCTCTATTTTTAATAATGCCTCTGGGACTGACAGAGAGTCGTAAGTTAGTGGTTATGAGTGCTAGTGGTTTGTTTAGAAATGTGTCCGCTTGTTCAGAAAAAGAACAAAGGTAAGGTAGAAGATTCTTAGGGAGGTCTAGCTGGGTAGCAGGGAGCAGCCTCACCAGTCTATCTTCTGATAAATGGGTATTTTGTGATTGGCCACATCTATTAGGGCAGCCATTTGGTGTCTATATCTCTAATATTTTATCAAAATGGATCCAAAACCATTGGGTCCTACTCCTATAATTTTTACCTATCTACAAAGATGCATGCATTTTTAGTGGCAAGTATCATTAAGGATATATAAATATATATCATGGAAAACATTTGTGATTTTTATGACATTCAGCTTTTGAAGGCTGTAAATTCTCTATCCAATGCTGTAGTGCATCTTTTCTTCCTTCTTTCTTATAAAAAGTACAAACGACATTACTGATCCCCATAATATCCATCTTCTCCACTTCCAAATAGATTTGGTATGACATTAAAGTCTCTGAACAAGGATTCCTAAGATTGTTGGATAAAACTAAAATGTGGTTAGGACAGGCAGGCATTTGTCTGAAGCAAGCATCACTAGAGATAGGAACATGCCAGATACACTGGATTCAAAACAAGTAGCTATTATGATGTTCCAAAAAGTAATTCAGATTAATTATAAAGTATGAGAACCAGTTTGGTGTAATGGCTAAGGCACCAGAATTAACACTGAGAGACTGGGAGTTCTAGTCCTACCTTAGGCATGAAGCTAGCTGGTGACTTTAGGCCAGTCACTCTCAGCCCTCGAAGAAGGCAAGGGCAAACACTTCTGAAAATCTTGCCAAGAAATCTGCAGGGACTTGTCCAGGCAGTTGCTGTAGTGGAAAAAATAAACCTAAGAAATAAAATGGAGACTGCACCCCTTCCCTCCCTGTCCTTTAGATATTACCAGGGTCAAACCCAGTTCTTCTCTTTGCTTAATCACATCAGACCCAAATTGACCCTCCTTGCACCAGACAAAGCCTCCTGTAGCCCCTTTCTAGACCAAAGAATAGAAGCCTCCTCTGCAGCTCACAGTACAGCTCAAGGGCAGCCCTTACAAGGGAGTTGCGACCTAGAGAAACCCCAACCTTCCATCTTCTTATCAGCTGATGACCTCAACATTCCATCTTCTTCACAATGGACTTCCCCAGCTTTTCTGCCCTCCTGAAAGGCGCATTTTGCCTAACAATGGAACTCTCCCCAGGTACATTGACAAGGACCTGCCTGGCTTCCCCAGACTGGCCTGCTAATCAGATCCCTAGGACTTCCTGCCTTGTATCCCTCAATTTCTATAAAAATCTTTGCTTTTCTATTGTTCAGGATCCCTCTTTCTTGTAAAACAGGCACCCAATAATCACTTCAATAAAGCGTTCTTCTCTACGTTGTGCTCCTTACTTTAGCAAAATTCCATGACAGTTGCCAGAAGTCAAGACTGACCTGAAGGCACAAATCTATATATTTGATCAAATTAAATAAATTTGCCTTTTGCTTGATGATGTCTATGGCCTATTTATTCCAGTTGTCTTGAAGCTGAAATTCTACAAGCAGATAAACTGTACTTCTGAAACTGGTTACTTTGGCTTCATTTTTACCAGAACTAAAAGACTTAAGGGATATAGTTTGAACACTGTAAATATTAACTCCCCCTGCTGATAAAAGCAGCAATCAAAACTAGAATTAAAAAAAAAATAGAAATGCTGCACTGAAATCAGTGGAAGACATACTGAATTCAATGAATAGACATAAAATATGATTTCAAATAAATATATATGTTTATTTAAGAATAACTGCATGTAGAATTTGTATCATGTTACAAGTGATCACAATAGCTTAGATATATTTTTTCTCTTCACTATCTTTGTAGATGAAAATTAAGAATAGCAGTTAGTCTTTCTGGACAGTTTTTAACCTAATGCCTTACAGGAATAAAATGCAATTACTTTTTAACCTCTATTAATAAACCGTATCAAGATTGGGGAAGCTGTTTTATGTCTTCTTGGCAGCAGCATCTTCCTTTTGACAATCCTGCAGTATTCAGACAAGCTCTCTCTTTTGTATGCATTCCTGCAGCTAATTTGCAGCTAATTTATATCAGTTGGACATCTACAAAAAAGAATTTGGTATCTTTGATAATAGGCACATGTTAGGGAAGGAGATCAGTGGAATGTTTGCAACATATAAAAAACTAGCTTCCAGTTAACACTTTTAATAACTTTCAGAAAACACCAGTTAAAATAGCTTTGAAAGTAGATGTAAGAATGTTTGAAAAGAGTGATGTTATGTGTCTTTAGGTCAGTGTTGATTATTAGCAGTCACACAGATCTTCTTCAGGATGATCTGTCCCCAAACTGGTTCCTCAAGTCTTCCCATGGTGCAGCTGTTGCTGCTGTAATTAAGCCATTCCCCTTGCTGCTGGTTGTCATCTTTTTCTCTTTCTTTTGATCTTTCCCAGCATTATATGCTTCCCAAGAGACCTAGGTCTTCACATAATATGTCCAAAATACAATCATTTGAGCCTGGTCGTTTGTGCCTCAAGTGAGAAATCTGGATTGTTCTATGATCCAT